GCGCCCAGCATGGCTCAGGGCCAGGGATTTTGCTAAGGCCACAGCATATAGGCGCCTCTGACACCACTCAGTGGATCTGGGGCAGACCAGGACAAGGGAGGAGCAGGAGCCAGGGCTGGGAGAGCCAGGAAAGAGGTCTGGAGAAAGGGGCGGGGCTTTGTCCCACACATTGAGGGTCAGAAGACTGCAGTTATGGAAAACCAGAGACGGGCTATTGGTGAGAAATTCAAAATTCAGGCAAAAGTCAAAGGAACAAGCAAGATCGCTTGTCAGGAAGAGGAGCTGGAGCCTTCTAGAGGATTGTGCTTACCTCTACCTGACTCAGCATTCAATGATAAATGTTAGAAGCTTGAAATCAGCCATGGAGGCAATATTTACACCATGGAAATTGGCAAATGCTGATAATCAGAACTTCTTTTTTCTTTGTAGAGAGTTATTGGCAGGAGGGAATATGGGAATTGTTTTAGTCAGCTTTTTCACTGTTGTGACTAAAAGACCTGACCAGAAAAATTATAGAGGAGGAAAAGTTTGTTTGGGGCTCACAGTGTCTAGAGGTCTGAGCCCATAGACAGCCAGCTCCATTCTTTGGGGCTAGAAGTGAGGCAGAACAACACGGCAGAAGACTGTGACAGAGGGAAGAGGCTCACATGAGGATCGGGAAGCAGAGAGAGACTCCACTCACCAGATACAAAATACAAACCTCAAAGGCACGCCCCCAATGCCCACCTCCTCCAGCCACATCCTACCCACCTTCAGTTACCTCTTAGTTAATCCCTCTCAGGGGATTAATTTACTGATTGGGTTAAGCTTCTCAAATCCCAATTATTTCTCCACTGAACCTTCTTGGATTGTCTCACACATGAGTTTTTGGGGGACACCTCACATCCAAACCGTAACAGGCACGCATGCAAGATTTTGGAAAATAGGCAACTAATAACTGTGATGAGAGAGACTCTCTTTTGGATGCTGTTAATGAACATCAATTTATGTTTTCCACTTCATGGTCACAACCTTTCCAAAAGGAAAATAGAGCAGGTAGCCGTGTCCCCATTGTGTAGATGGGGAAAATGAGGCAGAGAGAGGTTAAGCTACTTGAGTTAGGTCTTGGAGGTAGTCAGAAAGTGAGGTGGGACCCAAACACAGGCAGAGTGAGCATGGGGAGTGTAGAGGGGTGAGTTCTCCAAGACCCCAAGGATAGGTAGCCTGGATCTTTCTTGTGTGACTCCTCTCAGGTACTCTTTTTCTTCAGAGAGTTTGGGGAGTTTATTACAGATCTGTATCTACTAGTGATAGTTTGGGGTATCCTTGAAGAAGCAAAGTGCATAGTTTACACTAGGCCTCACTCCTGATGCTGTACTTCCTATTTTTTGGACAGAAGCATAAATACCTGTGTCCACCATTACACTACCATAGTGAATAGTTTCACTGCTAAAAATTCTTCATTCTCCACCTATTCACCTCTCCTTTTCCCCTAACCCTGGAAACCATTGATCTTTTCACTGTCTTTATACTTTTACTTTTTCTGCAATGTCATACAGTTGGAATTCTACTTTGTAGCTTTTTCGGATTAATATTTTTACTTAAAAATAAATATTTAAGGTTCTTCCATGTACTTTGTGGCTCCACAACTCATTTGTTTTTAGTTCTTATATCTCATTGTATGGATGTACCACAGTTTGTTTATTCATTCACCTACTGAAGGACATCTTGGTTTCTTCTGCTTTTTGGCAGTTATGAGTAATGCTTTTACAATTATCCCTGTGTACATTTTTGTCTGGACATGTGTTTTCAGTCCCTTTGTGTAAATACCAAGTAGTGTGATTGCTAGATCTTATCATAAGAGCATGTCTAGTTGTGAAGGAAACTGTGAGGCTGTTTTCCAAAATGGTAGCATCATGCTGCATTCCCACCAGCAGTAAAGGGGAGTTCCTGTTGCTCCACATTCTTGTGTCCTGTTTTCTCTTGAGTTTAAAAGCACTCTCTGCTTCTGTACCATCAGCTGTAGCAGCTTAGGCACAGAAGCACCTGCAGGTCTAATACTGTCCCCTCAGACTTTGCCCTGTCCCTATCCCAGGCATGGACTTGTAACTGTCCCACACCACTCTGCTTCCACACTCCACCTGCCAGTCGATACATAGAACACTGAAGATGGAGTTTCCCCAGGTCCTACCAGTGAGATCTCTGAATTCTACAGACATTTTATTCCTAAATATTCTCTCTCACATTTTTACCAGGATATTTTAGGAAGTCACTGAAGCGTCTTGTGTGTGCTCACTGGAGCATCCCCCTTTGGTAAGAATGCTGGATGAGTTGAGGTGACACCTCTTGGGGCTCCCAAAGCTTCAGAAACACCAGTTCCCTTCACGGAGGCTATCTGGGAGCATGCGGTATAAGCAGCAGATATGGGTACGGTGCCCTGCTTTCCAGCTCCGAGAGATGTTCTGACGAGCATGACATTGCAGCATTTCAGGCGACCAGGTTTCCCAGTGGCCATTGGGGAGCCAGGCTGTCGGCCATTATACAAAGTACCAAAGACTGGGTGACTAGAACAACAAGCTTTTATTTCCCACAGCACTGGAGGCTGGAAGTCAAAGATCAGGTGTGAGCATGCTCAGGTTCTGATGGGGGCCTTCTTCCTGCTGACACATGTGGCAGAAAGAGGGTGACAAGTTCTCTTGGGTCCCTTGTAAAAAAGACTCTGACTGATCCCATCCATGAGGTCCACCTTCATGGTGTCATCACCTCCCAGAGCTTCCACCTTTCCAACACCAACACCTTGGGGGTTAGGGTTTCACACATGAATGTCAAGGAGCACATCAGTGCATTGCAGGTGCTGTCTAGTCCCTGGGGACAGACACCATATGCCACTCAACTTCCTCCTCCTGACACCTATCTCAAATCTTCCTCATAAAGATTAATTCATACACAGAAATGCCCAATAGACACAGCAGACCCTGAAGCGAGGGCCAGCTTCAGGGTGTGTAGTGTTTACCTAGTTATAGGTGGTGACCTGTTCTCATCCCCATTTGGAGTCTATGCTCTTTAGAGACAAGACATCTTCTCGTCTTCACACCCTCTAGCAGCATTTCCCTCTTCTCCTGGGGTATCTCCTCGGGCCTCACTGTTTCAATGTTCTCCCTCAATTCCAAGCCGCCACCTCTGCATCTTTGTTAAGGAATGCCTCTGTTCTCCCCTGCATAGAACTGGCTGGAAATGCTGGGGACAATGGCTGGACGAAGCAGAGTCTAAATGTCCCAGGTCTCTCACTGTCTGGGTGGGGTGTATTCCGTCAGGCTCCTGGGATTCCCAGGAGAATTAATTAAGCTGTTCAAGGATCCCTTGCCAGACAGCTCTTTTGTGGCTCTCTTGCCTTCCCTTCACACATTCTGTACTCTCCGAGGGGTATTTCCTGGGGTCACCTCTCAAACATCCCCCCCTAGATTCCTTGTGGCAGTTCAGGGGGAACTGAGATCCATCCCACTGCACGGCAGACACTGGCGCCTGGACGTGTTCCGTGATGTCTCTGGGAAGACGGAGTGGACACTTCCGTGATGCTGGGTGGACGGTGTGTAGACACATACATAAAGATGTGCATGTATATTGGCTGCCCTGAGAACTCTGAGCCTGGTGTGTCCCCTTGTCCATCTGCCCCTCAGCTGAGGGACAAGCCCTGCTCTTCCCCTCATCATTACAATATCTCTTTGAACCTTCCTAGTACACATTTGCTTTTTAAAATAAATGGTTCCTCAAAGCTGCTGACTGTCTAAATCTTTTCTTTTTTTTAACTAGTGCCCAGCATAGTATGTCTAATTTTTTTAAAAAATCATAGGCTGTAATTCCACTTTTTAAATGTTTGACCCCACATTTGTTTTTTAATATGGCCAACTCCATCATGTTTCCCCCAACTTCTGGTCCAGAAATTTCCCCCCACCCCAAATCATAGTATCTTTTGAGATCTTTTTCTGAGAGCTGAGCTAACCCCAGGTGAATGTTAGGACACTCCTAGAAATTTAAAATATACTAGTGTTCAAACCTCAGTGGCCCTTCTGCAGACAGGACCCAGAGTTAGTGCTCTTTAAAGCTTCCCAGGTAACCCCAATGTGGAGCTTCAGTTGACATCATCAATCCAAAGCGTTTCCATCACTTCTTTTGGACACACCCTATTTAGACCTGTAAAAAGTAGGTGCTTGGAAGTCCTATTGGATCCAGAGGACAGGCCCAGTTTTCTGAAATTTGGGGTGAACTACAGATTCTTAGGATTCTTATAGCTTGATCTGCATCAAGCTAGGCTATCATGAGAACTGGATTAATCTTAGAGTCCAGCCCCTCCCACCCTACAGAATACCCTTTCATACATACTGGGGAGAGGGTGGGAATTGTCCTTCATGTGCTGAGGTGTGCTCTATTTGGTGAGTCCCTGGGATCCAGGCTTCCTATCATGAAAGCTCTGGCTAGCAGCTGAGGCTGTGGACGGTCAGGCCATCATTCAAGAGCCAGGTTCACCACCTAGCCCCTCTCTTGCCTTCTCTGTTCCAGGTCCCTCGGAGCTGTCCATTCTCCAATTCTGTCTCTTCTCTGCTTTCTCCCCCTTGTCCCTGTTTCTTTCCTGCTATTTTCTCCTGTCCCACTTCTTAATTTTCTGCTCCTCTGTGCCTTGGAACCAGGCTGTGGCTGCCTCCTCTCACAGCTGCATTTGCTCCGTGTGGGCCCCTTGCCTAGGAGCCATTGTTGAGGGGGAGAAATGGGAGGTAGAGGGGGCTTCCAGAGGAGAGGGCTGGTGTGCTTGGGAGCTCCAAGTCCAGATTTTATTCCTGAATGTTCATGCATCCTGCTTCCACCTGCTGCAGCTTCTCAAGAACATCCAAGAACGCTGGATGCCTTTAGGGGAGATCCTCAGGAAGAGGAGAAGAGGTCATTTGCTTGGTGGCTGCACCCGGGGGGCTAAGGCATGAGGGCTTCTAGGCACTCATTTCAGGACTGTCTCTCTGTTGACTCCACAGGACTGAGATGTGCTGGTCCTAGCTGCTGTCTGAGAGGATGTCCGGGGTGTCCGAGCCCCTGAGCCGAGTAAAGGTGGGCACATTACGCCGGCCTGAGGGCCCCCCAGAGCCCATGGTGGTGGTACCCGTCGACGTGGAGAAGGAAGATGTGCGCATCCTCAAGGTTTGCTTCTACAGCAACAGCTTCAACCCTGGGAAGAACTTCAAACTGGTCAAATGCACTGTGCAGACAGAGATCCAGGTAAGCTGGAGATCTGTGCACTCTGTTTGTCTATTCCGCCCTCTGCTTCCTGGGCAGTTGAGCGGCACTCCTTCAGCCCAGCAGGCTCTCCTGTACTGCCTGGCAGAGGGAAGTTGGCACCAGGAGAGATGTTCTCAGCTGGCGTGGCCAAACTCCTCTCCAGGTGTGCAGCTCCACTTCCCTAAGGGCCTGGGGGACAGATGCTACAGCCTTGGTTTGAACCCCTGATTGTTTGTTTGGTCTTTGTTCAATTCATTTCAACTCGTTAAGAATTTATGACATTTGAGGCTCTGCAAAGGACTTAAAAGCCCCCTCAAATATTCTCCGATGGAATTGGAATTAGAGGCATATGCAAGTGAGTAAATTTTCAAAAAAAGCTATCTAAGATTTCTGCTGGACATTGAGAGGATGGAGCTGGTGGGGCATTTAGAGGACAGTAATGAGCTAGAGATGCCCTGGGCTAGATGGGCGTCACCAGGCCCTTCTGCCAGAGCAACAGCTCAATGGGCTTTTTCCTACTTAGGGTCCTAAAATCTGTTAACAGATCCAGGTACACACCTTCATCAAGGCATCTAGACCCCAGGAATTCAGTTCAACTTAACTAAGTCTATATGAAATTGTCATCAAAAGCAGAGTTCCAATATTCTGGCTGATTTCACCACCTACACGTATTGAACAATGGCTACATGGGAGCGGTTAGGTGTGCCTTTCTGTACTCACCATCTCATTAAATCCTCTAATGGCCCCAAGAGATGGATTCAGTGAGGATGCATCTTTCCTCTGCCCAGAACATTCCTTCTTGATAATGGAAGGGAAAGTCAAATGGGTTCTCAGAAGGCGGCTTGAAGGATCTGTGGTTTGAACAAGGAAGCAGGGAACTCGGAGGAAAGGCACCCAGCTCCGGGGCAGCTGCCTGAGCTCTTGGCCATGGCATTGCCAGACCTTCCCGTGTCCTGAAAACCCGAGCCTCTCAACTCTGTGAGCGGCTCCTTTGGTTGGTGCTGTGGCAGCTTGGCCACGTCGCCATCCCGCCTGCCGTGTGTTACGGCATGAACCTGCCTCCGCACACCCGAGCAGAGAGTAATAGATTAGCCCACTGTGCTGGCCAGTTACCATTGTCGATTCTGGCTCGGTTGACTCCTTCTGTTTCCTGTAACTGATTTGATTAGGGCCTTGATTACTTGTCTTATGGTTTCTGATGGGAGCATAAATGTGCCTGAGTTTAAGCCCTGGCCCCCTTCTTCCAAGGGGGACGTTTTCCTATCTTCTTAACCGTCCACTTCATGGATCTTCCTTCAGGTATGTCATTTTCGTACATAGCTGATGCCGTCCACTGTGAGCCTCACTAGCTTAATTTTCAGAAGTTAACCTGGTCTTCAAGTTTGAGGAGCACCTCAGTGACCTTTCGTGCTGAGAAGCAGGGAACATCTGGTTGGTCCAGCTTGGGTCAGGTTTTATGGAGTTAGCGGTGAGAAGGGCCCTGAAAGAAGGGTGGGATTTAAAGCAGAGACTCTGGGGTAAGAAGGGAGCAACACAGATAGAGGCTAGGAGGCTGCTAGATGGTGAGTAGTCTGGTTTGATGGACGCATGGGATTTATTTAGAAAAGCTTCTCAAGTCAAGGCCAAGGTGGAAATTGAGGGCAGATAATGGAGGCCTAGAACATCAGGTTAGAAATTTGGAGTTGGGCAGGCATTGGGGAACAGCACCCAGTTTTTAAGAAGGGGAGAGAGATTTTCTTAGAGTTGTGTGATAGCCTGGTGGATGTCTAAGGGGAGGAAGAGCAGGAGGCCTACAGAAAGGGCAGTAAGGCCCAAGCTCAAGAATGGCTACCAGTTCTGGGGGCATCATCTGGAGGAGTTTGGGGACAAAGGAGAGGCAGCAGCAACAACAGGAGGAAGGAATTGCCTTCTAGGAGTTTATATCCAAGCATTTTGATTTTTCCTGCTTCCAGTGTCTCCTGCAGGCTAAAGGTCACCTTATAATGTCATTGCTTATTACAAACATCTGTGGCCATAAAGCCACTTGGACTTCCAGCCATGAGCTGCCCTACCCTTAGTGGTGTGTGGCCTTGGGTCCAAATGCTTAACCCATCTGCACCTCAGTCTGCCCCCTGGGGACCATGGCCATCTGCAGCCTTGCTGTAGGATTGGAGATGGTAGATGAGATGTACCTAGTGCACAACAGGGTCTCAAATAATTGGAAATATTGGTTGCATGGATGGGTATTAGATGATTACCCTGCTCAAAAATCTCCGAGGATCACTAATTGCCCAGAGAATGAAGTTCAAGTTGTCTTCTTTGGGTATTTATCCATTCATCTTCCTTATTTTCAAACTGAGAAGACAATCACATTAGTGTTTTAAAATAGCACATGGTGTTCTGAAAGATGTTAATGAGGTTGCCCTGGAGAAAGGGTCTAATCTCAAGAAAGCCTAGAAGATACTTGGTTAAACAATTCTGAACAGAATCTTTTATAGCAAGCTTTCTCAGAACCTTTAGTAAGCTAATATGCCCAGTGAGTCTCTGAGACAGGGGCTCAGAAGTATTGTTTTCTTACCTAGCTGTTTCTTATTGGCCTAAAGAAATGCTCTAAATGCTCTTTTAAAAGTTGGTCCACAAGTCTTCTGAAAAATCATTAAGGGAACTTTTCTCCCCAAACCCTGGCAGCAGAACACAAAGGGTTAGAGAAAGAAGCTGTCAAATGGGAAGTGGGTTAGGAAGTGGTGGCTGTTGTGTGGGAGGGAGCTGATGAGGACCTGGACTAAGGGAGCGTCACTGGGAACAGAGAAGTCAACAGATCTGAGTGCGTCTCAGGAGGCAGAGTCAACAGAACTTGATGATTAGCTGGATGTAGGGAGGGAAAGAAAGGAAGGAGACAAGGATGACTCAAGCTCTTGCCTGGGCAGCTGAATGGGAGCTGGCACCATTCATTGTGATAGGAGCAGAGAAAGGAAGGGCCTGGAGACTCCAGCTCCACTTGTGGTATCTTTGAAGTGTGTTAGAAGCACCTTCACAGAGCAATGTGGGCCCGGAGCTTAGGAGGGAGAAGGGACTTGGAGGTAAGGATTTGGGCATGGTCATGCGATAGAGGCCAGGCAAGAGGGCAGAATCAGCCATGGAGACTGAGTTGAGCAAGAGCAAGAGATCCAGTTGGGAAACCCGGGGAAATCGATTTCCAGAGGACTGAGGAAGAAAGAGAAGCAAATGAAGGAAAAGAAGAGTCCAAAAAAAATGGAGAGAACAATCAGGGGGGCCAAAGGCTGAGGAGCTTTAAGGAAGGAGTGTTTAGCAATGTTAGGTGCTCAGAGAAGTCAAGTCAGGGGAGGGCAGACATAGGGTCATTGCCTTCAGCCACAGGGTCATGGGCGACTCTTTGCTGAACAGTTCCAGTGGAGAGATGGGGGCAGGAATCATTGTACAATGATGGTCGAGTAGAGATGGTGAGAATAACCAGAATTTTACAGTTTTGACCATGAAGTGAAGGAAAGAGGAGAAGGCAAGAGAAACGAAGTCACCAGCCCAGGCAATACCACATGTGGTAGTCCTCGAGCGGAAAGGTACATGGCAGGTTGGAGGCTGAGAGTTCCTGAAGATTGGCTTCTTAGAACTTGTTAATAGTTTCGATCTTTACTCCATCCCTTGTGGGAAGATGCTGATATCATTTAATCGATATCCAGAGAATGTAGGAGATGGAAGAGACGGGCTTTGGTGATGGATGGGAGGGGCAGGAATGAGGAATATGGGGGTGTGAAGAGTGGCAGCCTTGGTTCAGGTGGACAGGGCCCCTTCCCTAAGATGAAGATGAGGAACGCTGGAGGAGAGACTGGGTGAGGAGTGACGTGTTCCCCAGCTCAGTTTCAGATCTTTCAGTGCGACTGAGGTGCTTTAACACTTTCATATGGAAATGTTGAGTAACCATTGGTGCATGTTCCAGAGGGGAGAACTAGTGTGGGCACAGACAGTGGAGTGTGGTCAGCCTCAAGGTGGTGGCTGAAACCATGGCTGTGGATGAGGTCACTGTGGAAAGAGTCTTGAATAATTCCATCTTCCATTCCACGAACAGAGTTGGGTACCCATGCCTGGCACTGTGCTGGCCGTGGCCTGGGGCAGCAGCGTACCCCTAAACACAGGTACACTCTCTGCTTTCACAGGGCTTCCTGGCCAAGGGTGAGACCGAAATTGACTCAAACCGAAGCACAAATGTTTACAAACTGAGGCAAAAGCTCTGACAGGAAGAAACAGGGCTGAGGAGAACAAATAACACAGAAGAGTTGGGTCTGAACACCAAGGACTAGCTTTGCCATTCAGAGCCCACTAGAGGTGTCCAGTAGGGAATGTCCAGTAGGGAACGCAGGCCTGGCATCCTTGACTGAGATTCTCCTGGAGCAGTGCCTCCCTCCCTCTCCTTCCTGTCAGCCTCCTTTCTCTAGCTTGGCTTTGACTTCAACCAATTTTTCATATCCAGCTCCATATCTTCTTTCACCATCCTCCCAGTACTCAAAATGCTGCCAGCACTTCCAGATTTGCCAAGCACATGTCCTTCCATAAGAACACTCCTGAAATTCCAACACCCCCCACTTGGCTGCATCTGATCAAATAGAAGCAATGGAGATTCACCCTGGCACAGCCCCTGCCGGAGTGTGTTTCCAAAACATGGTTACTCCAGGCGTACTTGCTGACTTCGTAGAGTTATCTTTATTCCCAACTTACTTCTATGCAAATACAATAGACTCATGATGCTTGCTCCGTTCAAAACCACAAAAGTACCCCCCTGGCTTTGGTCCCTAGGACCCCTCAGAAATCAGGTAGGTGCTGGAGAGACTCAGCAATGTTCCAAATGAAAACCATAATTGGCTCTTCTTGATTTTTCCACTTCCCTTTGGTTTGCTATTCAGAGGACATTGTGTTTGTTTGGGAGCTTTGAATCTCTGTAGCAGGCAGAGGCTTATATCACTCTATTTTCTTCTAACGTGCTAATTTGCTTGTCTGGGAAAGGGGCTAAAATGACATTCTGAAAACAACTGGCAGAGCATCACCCAGACGTGCCCACACGGGGCGTCTCCTTCATGATCATGATTACGTGCACGCAGCCCCCCCTCCTCTCTCTCCCCTTCTCCCTCTCCTTTTCTTCTCATTCTCTTTTGGGTGGGAGGGCTGACTATATGTCCTGGTTTGTCTCAGTCCCAGCTTACACATAATGTCCAGGGATAACCATTAGG